TGCAAAACACAACACAACAGTAGATCTACGGTATTAGCTTAATATCGGTTCACACACAAGATTATTGCTGTAGTAAGAGATGCACAGATTAGTTTTCCTGGCCGATTCCAGTTACTGATTTTTTTTTTTTGACCTGACCTGCTGATTCCATTTTAATTCTACGTAATTCTCAAATTTATTCTTGTGTTTAATCACAAACTACAGTAATCTGCTCACCTTTCTTTTCCCGTGAGACACACAAGCACACAACTACACCTGTATGTATCTGCTCTGACTTTATTTGTCAGCACTTTTATTTAAAACAACTCGCGTTTGGTATCTTTTCACCCGCGATTCCGTTTTCTGTGTCTTTCTCTGCAGATGTGGTAAACGTTGCGTCTTCTTCACTCTCGTGAATAAGACATGTTTTAGCCTGTGTGTGTGTGCTGTGACATGAGGTTACTGTCTGTGCACACACAAAATACAGCGCAGTGCAGCGTGTTTGTAACGTTCAATGTGACCGGCAGAAAATTGGATATTTGACACTGCTCGGCCCCAGTCACTGGTTGGAGCCAAGTTAGCGAAAATAAACAACCTATTTCAGTCCCCAGCTGATCTGCGCATCTCTAGCTGTAGAAGATGAGTTACACTTCAGTAAGCTGTTAAATAAGCTACCAAATAAGCTAGGTAATGTTATAATAACATAGAGGGCTCACAGAAAAATAATCGGTTATCATCTTTTTGTCATGATTTATTTATTAATAACTCAGCATCATCTGTATTAAAGACAACAGAATCAGTTCATCCAATGTTAAAAGTCCATAAAACAGCCTTGTCAGCCTACTTAACATTACTAGAATTCCACAACTACTGACTGATTTGAACTGGTTTTCTGCCACCGGACTCCTGTGAGAGAAAAAGCAGGCAGTGTACCAAACCACTGTGAGGCAAGAGAGGGGGGACTCAGGAATGTTTCTAAACTTAAAAAGCACTTTAATTACCCTGTTTGCGTTTGTATTGTTTTACTATTTACACAATTGTTTTAAGTATACAGGTGCTGGTCATATAATTAGAATATCATCAAAAAGTTAATTTATTTCAGTAATTCCATTCAAAAAGTGAAACTTGTATAATGTATACATTCATTCCACACAGACTGATATATTTCAAGTGTTCATTCCTTTTGATTTTGATGATTATAACTGACAACTGATGAAAACCCCAAAATCAGTATCTCAGAAAATTAGAATATTGTGAAAAGGTTCAATATTGAAGACGCCACACTTATATTGCTTAACTCAAAACACCTGCAAAGGCCTTTAAATGGTCTCTCAGTCTAGTTCTGTAGGCTACACAATCATGGGGAAGACTGCTGACTTGACAGCTGTCCAAAAGACGACCATTGACACCTTGCACAAGGAGGGCAAGACACAAAAGGTCATTGCTAAAGAGGCTGGCTGTTCACAGAGCTCTGTGTCCAAGCACATTAATCCAAAGTTATGTTCTCCAATGAAAGTAAGTTTTGCATTTCCTTTGGAAATCAAGGTCCCAGAGTCTGGAGGAAGAGAGGAGAATTCACGTTGCTTGAAGTCCAGTGTAAAGTTTCCACAGTCAGTGATGGTTTGGGGTGCCATGTCATCTGCTGGAGTTGGTCCACTGTGTTTTCTGAGGTCCAAGGTCAACACAGCCGTCTACCAGGAAGTTTTAGAGCACTTCATGCTTACTGCTGCTGACCAAGATGCAAAATTTCATTTTCCAACAGGACTTGGCACCTGCACACAGTGCCAAAGCTACCAGTACCTGGTTTAAGGACCATGGTATCCCTGTTCTTAATTGGCCAGCAAACTCGCCTGACCTTAACCCTATAGAAAATCTATGGGGTATTGTGAAGAGGAAGATGCGATACGCCAGACCCAACAATGCAAAAGAGCTGAAGGCCACTATCAGAGCAACCTGGGCTCTCATAACACCTGAGCAGTGCCACAGACTGATCAACTCCATGCCACGCCGCATTGCTGCAGTAATTCAGGCAAAAGGAGCCCCAACTAAGTATTGAGTGCTGTACATGCTCATACTTTTCATGTTCATACTTTTCAGTTGGCCAACATTTCTAAAAATCCTTTTTTTGTATTGGTCTTATGTAATATTCTAATTTTCAGAGATACTGAATTTGGGATTTTCATTAGTTGTCAGTTTTAATCATCACAATTAAATGAAATAAACATTTGAAATATATCAGTCTGTGTGTAATGAATGAATATAATAGTTAATAGTTATAATAAAAGTTTCACTTTTTGAATGGAATTACTGAAATTAATCAACTTTTTGATGATATTCTAATTATATGACCAGCATCTGTATATCATTATATTATTTGATTGTTTTTAAGGGGGGGGACACCCCTCATATAGGGGGGGACATGACCCCCCTGTCTCCCCCGTGATTTCCGCCTATGGCTACATTCTTGATAATGTCAGGTTTGGTATGTCCGACTCGCCAGCAAGTCACAACACGGGAAGATTTGATTCACATGCCTCTTTCCGCATAGCACTACAAATTTCAAACACAAGACAAACATCCCCCTCAGTGCGCTCTTGTTGAGGTCAGAAAACTCTGCCGACAATAACTTAGCAGTGATTGATTACTCTGATAAATATTTATTTATCACCAACATCAGAAACATCACATGCCACGGAAGGATAACTTAACTGCACCTCAAAGCGGCAGAATTCATGAATGAATTGATGAATTCCCACCAGGAAAGACTGACTGAAGTGGCTTCCTTTATCCCCATATTTGAACAATTATCACATCTTATTCCGCCTGTCGTCCCTCTCTATGACAGACCTTTTACATCCACCTTTCAGTGTGGACATATGAAACGGCACACTAAACAACACTTTTACCTTCAGAAGTGGATGGACAACACGCTGTAGGGACTAGTTCATTTCAGGCATAATCTCACCTTAAAATGTTATTGAGCCATGGAGCATTAGAGAGAATGGCACCAAAGATAACAAGAAGGTTTTACTGATATGCAAACCGAGGGGTTGCTATCCAGAAATATTATAGGTAGTAAGTGTATAATAGTTAAAGTGGCAGCACACCAGACAATAATCATTGCCTCAGAGTATGTTAAATATTTAAATCAGCTGAGTTTTCTCCATAAGATTTCACACTGTGAAACATCCAATGTGAATCACCTAGAAGCCAAACCGATCGGCAGATCGTTCAGATAATGATCCAACTATTACGTTTCAAAGCTCCTCCTTTATGATCTCAACAAATGTTTAAGTCAAGTGTGTAAACATACAGCAAAGTAACACATGACTTTGCAATGCCAGAACTTTTTAAAAGTTTAATCAGAAACTGATTTCAATGGATATTTAAAGAGAAAAGGTTGCTATGTTTATTCAGTTTGAAAGTCAGAACAATTAAGGTGTAGGAGCAGTTCATGTTGATGTGTGACAAATACTACCGTCACAATTCTGAGAGAACCAGAATCAGTGAATTGGATTTGTAAGGCTAGCTTTCTATCCTGATCACAATATGGTACCACTGGCTTTTTACAAAGAAAAGACCCTTGACTACAATTACTTTGGTGCAGAGCGGCTTAAAAAAAACATTATTTTCAAAGCTGTCTAAAAATACGGCTGTGTCATACCGACTTTCACTGCATTGCCAGACTCTCTAGGACTCCTCTCCAAACCCCTGAGAAAGAAAGAGAAATACACCAAACTGATATAATCCCTCAGGCCCTCACCCTGTTAGCAATTTAGATGCCCCTGATAGAAAGCGCCGGATGAAAACAGAGAACGGGAATGAGAGAGGGATGAGGGTTCATCCAGTTAATTAATATTGTATGAGGCAAACTCTTCACACGCATACAGGCGCACATTCACGCCAGGTTTTCAGACAACTATCACAGGTTGATGGGAGAATAGGAGGGGATTTCATTTCTTCTTCTCCCCCCCCCCCCCCCTCTGGTGCTTTCATTCATTCTGTCTCTGTGCTGGATCAGAGTACTTGGAGATAACACAAGCCCAAGGTCAGAGAGGGAGAGACAGAGGAAGACCTACAGCCAATTTACATGAAAGATGAATGGGTAGAGGGGCAGGAAGGGTGGAAGTCTGGGGGCTTGAGACGGGGCCTATGATCTCCTTAGGGGGTGTGTGTGTGTGTGTGTGTGTGTGTGTGTGTGTGTGCGCACGCACACACGCACGCACGCACGCTCACAAGAGGTCTGTGATCTCCTGGCCTTTGTGATGGAGATGGGCCCGGCCGGCCTGACCCGATAATGACGCGACGCTCTAATAGCATTCATCCTTTCTGCCGCAAAACTACTCAAGCAGAAAAGAGGGGGGGGGGGATGTGTTCCAAGGAGAGAGGGAAGCAGGAGGAAGGGAGGGGAGGTTAGCTAAGCTAAGTTTAAGAAATGACGTGGGGCACAAATCATTTGTTATCTCGGAATCAGGGTGGAAGGGAGGCAGCAACTTTAGATGAGTGTGAAGGTGTGTGAAACTGCGTGTGTGTTTGTTTTAGAGAATGACATTAGGGGTGTGTGTGTGTGTGTGTGTGTGTGTGTAACATTAGCAGTAAATGCACCGTGCCTGTGTCTCCCCTCTCTCTCTCTCTCTTTATCAGTGTATATTTGCTATGGGCACTGGAGCATGGAAGTCTTTTTAGCACACTGGCCCATAGGGGACAAGACCCTGTGTCCAACACACACACACACACACACAGAGAGAGAGGGACGGTTACTTATCATACAGGGTCATTACAGACCTCTAACTATAGGCCCAGTAATCACTGGTTTATATCAGCACCCATATTCACTGCACAATACACAGCAGCTCGTACCAATAGAGAGCGTGGGAATGATGGCAGAGAAGAGGGAGAATGGGAGACAAACGGAAAGTTAAACCACCCCATTTTTTTATAGAGAGAAAATTATTATTATTTAAGAAAACATTGTAGTAACAAGCTCCTTTCATTTTCTCTGGACTCTTCTCTTCTCTTAGACCAAGACAGGTACACCTATGAAGCAGCGTGGAGAAAACCCGGGTCGAACCACTGTCTACTGCTACAACTGCGCCAGGAAAGGACACTTTGGCCATGTGAGTTGTTCACTCTGTCTTTTATTTTATTTATTATTATTTTTTATTTTTTTTGCCATTTAGCTTGCTTTTTCTGGTCTCTAGTCCAAAATAAAGCCCAAAATGATGGCTTAAAACATTTTCAGGCACTATTCAAAGTATTAAATAGGGTGAAAAGTTTATTGACTCTTGCGCTACAAATCAGAAGTAGTTTAAATCTTAACACACATCAGATTTCTAGTTTCTGCATCCAAGAGAGATTTTTCGAGCAAACAATGTGTACTCTCTTGTAGTTTCAGTTTCTGTCTACTTGTGTTTTAATATGATGCCACACATCACAGATCTTTTTTTGCTTTGAGTGTGATTTTCGTGTGCGTGAACATGCTGTCATGAATTTGGTTTTCCTCAGGAATGTACACGGCACAGGATGTTTAATGGGACGTATCCCAGCACCCCCTTCATCAACCACTATGACACTGTGGAGGACATCAACCGCAGACATCACAGGATAAAGCTGAAGTTTAAAGGTAAGTCCGAGTGTGGTTAACTCTCTTATGGTATTGTGACTGTGCATGTTTGCTGTAGCTTTTTGCAGAAATATAACAGTACCTGACTTGGGTTAAATATTGTCACAGCTTTTGTATAATCTGACTTTGCCTCTTGCTGCTTTCTGTGCTCTGGCAACATATAAATCATTAAAGCCTTTTTGTTTCTGTTTTCATTAGAACTGAAGAAAAATGGCCTTTTCCCTGCCAGTGCCCAGACCCCTCTCACTCCAGGACCGCCAAAGAAGAAACAGAAAATCATCTCTCACAAAAACAACCAGACCCCTAACCATACACCTTACCAAAGGTCCAACAACCACAAACCCAGCCCAAGTCATATCTTTTTTAATGACGACAATGACCATAGGACCCCAGCACCCAAAACAAAGAAGTACAAACAGCAGGAAGGCACCGGCAATGTGAAACCATGGAAACCCAAGAGACCAGTGCCCACCTCAAGAGACCAACCAACTAAACTAATTGTGGATGAAGCACATGACTTTCCCAGAGGGGGAGGCAAAGAAGAAAACACAAAGGAGAAGAAGAAGAAGAGAAACAGGATGAAGAAAACGAAGCAAGCTCCTTCAGTGACACCAGATGGACATGGAGACAGCAGGCCAGACCGTCTCTGTTGGACTGTAACTAGAGAGATGCAGGGGTCAAAGCAAGAGAAAGGAGATAAGAAGAGGAAGAGGAGAAATAGAAACCGCAGAATTGCTGACAAAAAACGTGATGCACAGATGTACCCGACAGATGAGAACCTTTTTATCATCAAACAGAGGAAACGCAGCAGATAGCATGAGTTTATGTGAGGTGTGGGTGTCAGCGCTGTGAAAGTATGTGTTCCTGGCATTTAGGGACATGTCAGACATCTTGTTGACTCAGGTCTCGCTGCACAACACCAGCGCTGTTTCAGGGGGTTCATAGGCCTTTTTCACATTTTGAAATGTCACCTAAGGTATAGCACAGGTGTGAAGGGACATCGCTACAGCTCGCAAAACCTGTGAGCACCTGACTAATATTTTAAGACATTCATCCTTTAATGCATGTAGTTCTGCCTGTGCTTTTCCCTGTGCTTTTCCTACTACAACAAGTCAAAATGTCTGCCGTGAAAGAAGGTCTGTTGTGTTTCATACTGTAGTCTGGGCTGCTTGTTCAGTTTCACTTCGTGGTCAGTGTGATTATTACAGCCCCTATTCAAACAGTGGCACCACTTCATGCCGTTTTCACATCTAAGTTGCTGTTTATATATTTGGAGATGGAGAGTGTTGTGCGAGAACCAAGATAAGAGGTTCATACAGTAATTATAAAAGGCAACAAGTCATTTCCACAGTTCCGAGCATTCCTAATTATAACACAGAATAACTAGCAGTGCTGACAGGCATAAAGAAACAGCAAATGATTTAGTTGCATCAAAATGCAATGTTTTTCGAAGTGATGGTAGTATTTTAAGTATTTTTATTGCTATCATAATTTTTCATTTCTTTGTTAACATTAGTTTCTGCAGATTGAACATTTTGAAGTACAGTCAGATCTTTTCCTAGTGCCTCTGTTATTATACGCTAGTTTTAAAGTTGTTGCTGCTGTTTGCAGTTGGAACCAAAGGTTAAAGTTTAAAAAAAAAAAAAAACTTTTGGAAATGTTCAACTTTCCATTTAGAATTGAAGAAATATATGAACATACTGTAAATACATCTATTACACATGTTTGTAAATCTGCAGATACTCCCCTCACCAGTTCTTTTGTGAGCTAGAATGCATCACTGACATGCAGCTCTGCCAGTATTAACCTTCAACCACCCCTATTTAAATTCAGGTGTACATGGTTTTATTTGTTCTGAATATAACATAATGAAACCTTAATAACATGAAAGAGTGTGAGACGGTTTCTTGATGACATGGATACTGGCTACCGGAAATCTCTGGGATAGAGAAAACTGTAATTTGCTGTCTGACTTAATAGATTTCTGATTCAGGAAGATAAATGAGTTATGTGCTTCACCTGTTCAGTGTTTTTTTTCAGTGATTTTTACTGTTCCATAATTATTTATGTAGATGATCCATTAAAATAATTGCCAGTATCTAAAGGTCTCCCCCCACCAGATGTGATACCTGTACGGTCATATTATATGGGAATCTCAGTCATTTTTCAAGTGTATCATCATTAGGCACCACAAAGATTTAGCAGCATTATTAACAATCCCTTCTTTCACTCCTAATTAGAACAGAGAAAAAAGACGAAGTGCTGCTCCCACAAGTGAGCCACACTGTTGATGAACTGAAAGGAATTGTACCAGGGATATATAGGGGGAAGTGCCATGCTGACAACCATAATTAAACAGCCAGTTAGAAGCAAACGTCAAAGTAATGTTAGGAAACAGCCCAAAGTCAGTGTGACATCCCTTGTACAGGAGCTGCTGCGGGCTAAGTGTTGGTGTCAAAGGACAAATCCCTGCTTGGACCGTTTGTAAATCTGTGGATATAAACATACAACAGTAGGCTGTGAATAGTTTTTTAAGAATGCTGAACATGCATTAAAAGTGAAAACAAAACTAACTGCATGTGGACCTCTGTAAATAATATTACAAAGAGTACAGTCTAGACCTGCTCTATATGAAAAGTGCAATGACCTACTCCAGAGTTATATTATATATTGCTGATGCATTGATGTGTAAGCAAAATTCTATTGTAGCAAGTATAGGTACAACTTAAATATACTATTGGGTAGATAAGACTGTAAAAATGTATATTTTGTAAGATAATGTTCATCATACGAAAACTTAATCTGCAAAATGGTAACAAGAAGTAGTTTCTTACTTTTGCAATAGTAATATTCTAGTCATGAAATTAGAAGTAAATTAGAAGTATTTAGTGGCATAAAATGGACATAATGAAGTAAAGTAAAAGTAGCCTTCCTCAAATTCTGTAAGTAGGCCGACAGTACTTAAGTAATAGTACTTAGTTACTTTCCACCACTGCAAGATATTATCTCACTTAGTTTTTACAAATCTCCAGAATACTGGATGTTATGTACTTCATTATTTTTCCAGTAACACTAAAAGTTGTCTCTCCCAGTTGCATTCCCGACTTGTTGAAACCGGTGGAAATAGTCAGCGAAGCCGTCATTCTTCAGTAGTTTGCTAATTTGTGGCAACCCGTGAAGGCATCTCGTGACGCATAACGTCGCTCCGCCCCACATCGTGTACGGCAAACTGGCCTCGTCAGACTTACTTTCCGTTTTGTGTTGCAAAAGGTTTCAGGGTGAGCGTGTACACCTCGGACGGCCATAGTTAGTGAGCTGTACTGTGTGTTGACTCGGCCAAAGAACGGAAATGGAAAATGGTTCGTGCACAACCGGTGACTCCAAGCTGGACCAGGCTGTCAGGCAGTGGCTGCTGTATGACAAGGTAAGCTGACCGCTAGCGAGCTAGCTTAATGGGCTGTGGCTGTCCTGTAAATTTACTGTAACGTTGGTTTATTAGCCAGATACATACGTAATTGATACAAATCAAGTCAAGCCTTCCAGTAATTGTTTATAACACTAGAAGAATAGTTTGGTAACGTTAAACAGTAGTCGTAATATTTTATTCTTGAAATACATAAACAAATACAAAAGTTTCACATGCCACATTCACTCTCTGTCCTTGTTGTCTTCATCAAAAGGACAATGGATTTCCTCCAAACAGACTGATGTGCACATCACTAGTAATTTCACAGTGAAAAGGCTTGGGTCACACATGATTTTAAAGACACCGTCAAGTCGCGTCATATCATATACATATTTATATAGCCCGATATTACAAATATATTCCTTGAGTGGCTTTACAATCCTGTGTGTAAAGACAACACCCCTTACCTAAAAAACTTTTAAAGGGGAAAAATAGAAGAAACATGAGGAAGAGCAACAGAGGAGGGATCCCTCTCCCGGGACAGACAGATATGCAAAAGATGTTGTGTTTACATAGCTACAACAATAGACCAACATAGTATGTATAGACGATCAGGATGACAAAATTATAAATAGACTGTAAACATATGTGAAGAATATTAATCTGGAAAGACATTGAGCAACTTCAGATGTTGCTAAACAGATTGGACACAAGCCACGCAACCTCCACCGTGGAGACCTGGAAAAGGACAGACTACACAAACGCACAAGAGGCAAAACTCAAGCACACCATTCATGCAGAAGAAAAAAATACACACAGAGGGAGATAAGGGCAAGGACAACATGCACACTTGGATGAGTGAGACAAATGGAGAGGCTGAATGTCTCGAAAGGATGGAGATCCAGATATCTGTAAAGAGGCATTGACAGCCAGGGCAGGGAGATAGGATGAGAGAGAGAGATGGTCCAGAACAGAGAAGCCCGTGTGAAATGAGAAGATAATCAAGTCTGGATGAAGTAAAGTTCACAAACAGTCATTCATGACCTTAAAGCGCCATTGAGATGACACTACTCAGGTCACATTGGAAAAGGGATCCTGGCTCCTTAGTCATATAATTGCATTAAAGCAGCTTGCTTAGTGGCTTGTTTGAATTTAAAGCATTGTATTGACCAAATTGCTGTATTTATGGTTGCCATTTTGTAACCAGACTCATTCTTTATTTACTTTTTTAACTTTATGACACAGCAGTCATTCACAACATAATGCACCATCATTGATAAAGATATAGGATTTATTCTCATATATATATATATATATATATATATATATATATATAACAAAATGTGGGCATGTTGTTCTTCCCCAGAACCCCAAGACAGTGTCAATGGTGCAGGATCTGGTGAAGGAAGGAGCGGTGGAGGCTCTGAAGAAATGTTTCTCCTCCAGGATGGAGTTTGGTACAGCAGGTCTGAGAGCACCCATGGGCCCCGGCGTAACCTGTATGAATGACCTCACTATCATCCAGACCACACAGGTTGGTTAATAGATAAACTACCACTGCTCATTAAGTCGAGTCACATGCAAAGCCAGACATACACATTATTGATTCTCTGCTGTTTGAAGCTTGTGGTCGACTGCATAGCTCACATGCCACCATCTTGTTACCCTTCATTGTAGAATCTCATTGCAGCTACTGCTTTCTTCCCCCACTGCACATTAAACACTTCCTCTTCTCCACCTTATTTCTCAATCTTTTTCCCCCTGACAGGGCTTCTGTTGCTATCTAGAGGAGAGTATTGGGAACCTTAAGGAGCGAGGGGTGGTGATTGGATACGACGCCCGTGCCCACCCTCCCAGCGGTGGCAGCAGCAAGCGCTTTGCCTGCCTGGCTGCAGCTGTATTCATCAGCCGAGGGGTTCCTGTCCACCTCTTCTCTGACATCACCCCTACACCCTTTGTGGTAATCACTGGAACTTCTGAAATTTCCTTATTTTAGGAAGTGCAGTCATAGATGATTCAATACCTGAAAGCAGAAGTATCATTTTACTGATACCTTTTATAGGGTAAATTGTGAAATAAACAAAATTCTTCTTTATGTGGTGTCAGGTATGCTAGTGGGCAAATTCCATTCAAAAAGCGTACTTCACCTTTGTAAACTGCAGGAAACTATATTGTATATCTTGACTCCAGGTACTTAGTAATTTTTTTAACTGACAGTGTGTTGGGACTTTAAAGATGAATTCACAAAGAGCTAGTTGTGTTTCGGAGTCTATTACAATATCACAGTTTGCAATCTCTGAGCTTACGAGATACTGAATGAAGTTCAGATAAAGATATTTACATGTTCTCAAAAACAGTGTTTTGTCTATAGATTCACAACCTTATGTCTAGAGAGTCTCTTTCTGGCTCTGTCTGCTGGATGTCAGGAGCTGCTGATAACATTGGCTGTGAAGCAGAAAAAGACAGTATTACAATATACAGTATACTCTCACGTCTAGCAAAATTATGCATGAATAAACACAAAGCAAGTTAACCAATGTGGATAAAAGTAAATAACAAAAATGAAATCATAAAATATAAAAACTGAAAATGATATTCATCAATAACCACTAAGTAGTTATGATCAGTACTAGTCGGCTGCCCGATATCTGCCATTTTGAGTTAATCAGCATTGGCCTATACTTGCACTAACAACGTCAATATATCATCCTAAATGACTAATCTAAATCCATGACTGGCTAGCGTTTAAAATACACTGTTATACTGTAGAGAATAGTGCAGTTGAATGACGTCACTTCTGACAAACTGTACCCCACTCCCCCTTAAACATCAGTCATGCTCTGAAATCTACTGCATAACCCAAAGTATTTTTTTATTGCATTAATTAATAAAAAGTAAAGCCGCCCTGCTCTATTGACATCGGTCATTGAAAAACCCATATAGGTCGACCACTGATCAGTAACCAATAATATGTCACAATATCTGAATTAAATTCCGTACACTTGAAACACAGTCCTTTAGATCAATTGAAGTTCAAATGTCCTTGTTAAAGTGATGTTAGCTTTCAGATATTAGCATAAAACTATCTTAAAAAACTACCCACTGATTTAAACACACTACATGTTGGCATTACATTATAGACCTGTTTTGCCCCCTTTTTTCCCTCTTTCACACCACGGCTCAAAACATACCACGATATACATTCATTGTATGTGAAGAAAGCAAAACGTCTTTGAATGGTGCCCTAAATATGGGACGAATTTAACCCAGATCACCCTCCTCACATATAAAGGTGTGTATGAACTGACAGTTTCGGGGTGGTTTTTTTCTCTCACAGAGTGTGTTTGCAATGTTAGTGTTTATTATTCATTGTCTAGTATGATGTTGAAGTGTACTGGAAAAGTGAGAGTGATTTCTCTCCTGCTCCCTGCAGCCTTTCACAGTTTCCCACCTTGGTCTGTGTGCTGGGATTATGGTGACTGCCTCTCACAACCCCAAACAGGACAATGGCTACAAGGTAGCACCTTTCTCACTTTTACTTTTTCAAATGAGCATACTCACCGTAATAATGCACAACACTGATTTCAGTTTGATTGTATATGTCTTACCGACATTGTTTTTCGATACTATATTTTGATGATGCTTTATTTTATTATTGCTACTTGCTGCATTTTGTGCGTGTTTTTTTTTTGTTTGTTTGTTTTTTACATGTTTTGTTTTTATCTGATGTAAAGTGACCCTGTGTGCCATGAAAGACGCCATCAAATAAAATGTGTTGTTGTTGTTGTTAATTACTTACTTACTTACTCAATTACTTAGTTGTTGTTAGATCTGGCACTGATTCATATTTGGAGGCTTTGAAAGGTTATAAACTTAAACAGTTCTCCACAGCCTTATCTGAACTTGTTTGATTTGTTAGATCTTGTTCATTGTAGTCCTGAAACAATATTCAATTTGTTGATCAACAGAAAACTACAATATTGAGGACTGATTAATCATTTAAGACATTTTACAGACAAAGTTTTTAAACTTTTCCTGCGCCCAGCTTCTCAAATGTGAGGACTATCCTGCTTTTATTTTTTTAATATCTCCCAAGTAGTGAACTGATTTCGGTGGTAGACTGTTGATTGAACAAGCACTTTCAATATGTGACTTTCAACTCTGGGAAATTTGTGATGGCCATTAAAACAACTTGAAGAATAATCAGCAGATTAATCAATATTAAAAATAATTGTTAGTTATAGCTCTAATTCACTGTTCTGTCTGCTGATGTCTCAGGTGTACTGGGAGAATGGAGCCCAGATTGTGTCTCCTCATGACAAAGGTATTTCCAAGGCCATAGAGGAGAACCTGGAGCCCTGGCCTGACTCCTGGAACACAGAGGAGGCTCTGAAGAGCCCCTTGCTCAAAGATCCCTACAAGGACACCCACACTCAATACTTCAAAGCCATCCAGAAACACTGTCATCACAGGTGATACATAGACAACCACTTATTGATCAGGATATAGCATTTAAAACGCCAGGGGACAGAGAGGGCGTGATATACAACTGGAAAACTGTGTTCCACTGATGTTTCTAATCTGCTTACATTTGAAATGCATGCATGAGATGCCACTGTAGGCCGTACACACACACATTACAGAGTTGAAATGAAGGACACATGAAAACATGGTTGACTCTCTGTCTTCACAGGGACATAAACAAGAGCTCAGAGGTGAAAATTGTGCATACATCTGTGCATGGCGTTGGCCATACATTTGTCCAGTCAGCTTTCAAGGCCTTTGACCTTCACCCTCCCTATGCTGTAGAGGAACAGAAAGATCCAGATCCTGAATTCCCCACAATCAAATATCCAAATCCTGAGGAGGGAGAGGGAGTTCTGGTGTGTTCTGAATATTCACATTACATGCGGTCATGTATACATGGTGTGTTTTGATTGAAGGTGTAAAATGTGTGTGTTTTGCAGATGCTGTCGTTTGCATTGGCAGAGAGGGAGAGGGCCGCTATTGTGTTGGCGAATGACCCCGATGCTGATCGACTGGCCATCGCTGAGAAGCAGAAGAGGTCTGTGTTTGTGTGTATATTATGACTGTGATATTGCATTGACAATACAATGTTAATTCCAACCTTTAACATTACGTTAATAATGTTGAATTAAAAAATAGCCAGTGGTTATGTGCCCTGTCACGTTTTCTCACTGTCCTGATTCCACCCTACACATGCTACAATCCAAAGTGCAAGAATTTAGAAATGCTGAGGTCATAGGGTCTGAACCTCCACTAGTATAACACATCCCTTTTAGCATTATTTGAATATTATATTTTTTCACCTTTATTATCCATTTAACTGTTAAGTTATATGTTCTGTGAGTTTTGTCTGTCTACATCATTGTCTAAATGCTGTTTTAAAGCCTTCTCCACAAGGCCAAGGAAATACAGTAACTCAAAGGGTTTTAGTTAGTTTTTGCCAGAAACACATTTGTCGATATTTTGAGCCAAAAATATCAGATTCATCCTTAAAAAGCCATCATGTGTAATTATTGTGTAATTGCAGATTATAAAGTCCTTCTCGCATTGTTAAAACCGTCAAATTTTCTGAAGCCATAAGAACCTCTGTGTCCTCAGCTCGGCGCTGATTAGAATACACTATCATTATAGCATATATTATTATGGCAGTGGAAATGCTTTGAACATCACAGAATGGTGACTGTATAAGGTGATGTTTATTAGCATGCATGCACTTCCATGACCCCTCTCTCTCTCTGTGTCAGTGATCAGTGGCGAGTGTTCAGTGGTAATGAGTTGGGGGCATTGCTTGGCTGGTGGATGTTCCGCTGCTGGAAACGGGAAAACTCTGACGCTGCTGCTGTGAAAAACCTCTACATGCTGTCGAGCACAGTCTCATCCAAGATACTGCGCGCCATCGCTCTCAAGGAGGGCTTCCACTTTGAGGTAGCACAGTCAAGTTTAAGACTGTAATTTGTTACAATTGTGAAAGTTGGGCGTAAAACATATTTTTGTTTGTTTGTTTGTTTTTAAAAGACTAGATCCAAACTGATCTGATCAGAAGTGGTTTTCTCCTGGATTTTATGTCCTCATGCATCCAAATGTTGTAGAGTTTCCTGCTGCAAGAAGACAGTTTCCAGTAAAGCAGCTTCTCTTGTATTGAAGGCTCATAAAATGCCTTCAGTAATAGAGAGAAATAGGGAGAAAATTTGGCTAATGGGCATTGACGATGCAGTTAAATGCACTCTGTTATATGTAGGCTTCACCATTGCAAATGTTACTGGAGTTAACATTTTAAACCACACTTCACAGTTACTTACTGCTGTTTGAACAGGAAACGCTAACAGGGTTCAAGTGGATGGGAAACAGAGCCAGAGACCTTTTGGACCAGGGCAAGACTGTTGTGTTTGCCTTTGAGGAGGCCATAGGTAAGCGCCTGCGCACACACACATTAAAGCTAGGGTACGCAACGTTGGAGAAACTAGGAAGAAACTGCTAGATTTTGGAAAGTATCCAACAGAAAAAATCCCACCCCCTCCCTTCACGCCTCCTACCAATCATTTCATTTGAACAGAAGGAAATGACTGGTCGTGTTTATTACAGTTCTGCGACAGCCACAGATAACAGATTTTTATTATTTTTTTGTATCGGAGCATTTGATTTATTGATTGCTGCTGGTATGTAAAGAGAATTGCGAAAAATATAACAAAAAATGCTTCTGAAGTAAATTGCCTATCCTAGCTTCAACGTTATCCACAGGCATAATCATAGGAAAGCGGTCCCAATCAATTCTTTATAGCATCCCATTTCAAGAGTTTGTTTTCCTAATGATCTCCACGATGGCACAAGCACGAGTCACGTTAATTTGATCTGCCTAAAAGTATTTTTATCTGTGATCAGTAGACGGCCACGGACAACGCACTGTTTGAATGTTAACAAATTAATTTTGCGAGCTCTCTGTATCTGAACTGGGATGAGGGCCGTTAAGAAGAGTATGCATGGACATACATTTTGCCCCATAGAACTATCCACCTGTATAAAATCTGCATGCATGTGTCAAAATGTCATTATGATATTATATTTTAATAAAAACATGTAGAATGATAGTGTTTCTTTAGCTGTAACAATAAATGTGCAGTTTCCACTGTAATCTGTATTTATATCTCTGCCAACAAAACTGCTTTGCCACTGTATCTTCAAAAAGTAGTATAAGCTGTATAGAAAAAATCAAGCCAGGAGTCATGGATCCTTTTAGTATAACATTGAACAACTTCTACTGGCAAGAGAGCCAAAAGGCTGACAATGAATGCATCAGCAAATGTCTACTCTAGTATTGTGTACACCGGTGTTCTAACTACGTTGTACAGTATCGGTTACTTGTTAAATAAACACATCAATCATTTAAATCAGAGAAAGCATTAAAATGTCAGATGTGTCAGCTGAGGAACTTGGTGGTATTTCAAGTTTAGGCCCTGCACTCGGTTAAAGGTCGTTTGGGGTTAATATGGCAGATTTTCCCTCTCATACACGCACATACAGCATCACGTTGTTTAGAGCATTCCCATATAACATGATTATGATGCTGTAATTGGAATCACATGCCTTTATGTTTTGCATGCACTGTTAGTATAAGAAGAAGTTACTGCAGCAGCTGTGTGTGTGCGTGTATGTTGCAGGGTATATGTGTAGTCCCTCTGTATTGGACAAGGATGGTGTGAGTGCTGCAGCCATAGCAGGAGAGATGATTTCCTTTTTGGCCACGAAAAACACAAGCCTTTCTCAACAACTCACTACCATCTATGAAGAGTAAGAGACACATACAGTATATAAAATATATTCATCTGGCCTTGGTTTCAATAACCAAGAAATATAAACTGAAACTGCTGACTTTAATAACTCCGTCTCCCTCTGCTCCTCATTGTCAGGTATGGTTACCACATCAGTAAGAACTCCTATTTCATCTGCCATGACCAGGATGTGATCCGCAGCTTGTTTGAGCGTCTGCGCAATTACAGTGGCGAGAAGGAATCATATCCCACTGAATGTGGTCGCTTCTCAATCTCCGCTGTCCGAGACTTGACCACCGGCTACGACAGCAACCAGCCCAGTAACAAGGCTGTAAGTGCACACACGAACAACACATGTACGGTACATCCATTCATTTCTGGCAAGACAGACCTTTGCTATGTTTTCGCCTTGATCTGCAGTTTTTCAAAATTTTTGTGTACAGCAAGACTGTTATGTTATTTTCCTACAGATATACTGTAAGCCATAACTATGGAAATAGCATAGCTGGAGATAGGCATGCACGATATGAGGAAAATGTGATGTGCAATGACATTGTTCAATATTGCAATGACAATATACAAATATTGAAGTGTGCATTTTAGCTCCCTGGTTGTTATTCACTACAGTATTAGAATTGAATATTTTAAAAAGCAACATTAAAGTTATTATATAAACTCAATAATATCTCAGTGGAAACAAATATAAAATGGCAATCAAATTAATCATGTCCCTGACATCAAAATACTGAGGAAAAACTCGGACATCAGTCAATACCAGTCGTTCCTCCTCTCCTCTGTCCTCTATGCTGCTGCTGTTATTCACTGCCTGCAGGCAGCGTTACTGCTTGCAGATAGAGGAGCGGCTGGTTTCTGTCAGCCAGCAGCTCAGTTTGTAACGGTGTGCCAGATTTTAGGGTATGTGGCAAACTAATTAAACAGGCCAAACACAGCTTTTCATTTGAGCTTGTTTTTATCAGTTCACTATTAGCCGAGCTAGCGTGCTGAGCTTTTGTAAAAACTAGAGGATGTGAGACTGGACAGAGCAGAATAAAATATTGCCTTCTACAGGTTTACATGTTTATGCTTGTTGAAAAGTTGTATTGATAAAATATTGGCTTTTTATCTGGTTTTGCAATGTGTTTATTGCGCATGTTCATATCGCAGTGATGATGAAAATACAATCTATCAGTCACTACTAGGGGCCACAAACACGACTCCAAATGGATAATAAAGTTTCTCTCTCATATCTGCTGTTTGCACTTGTTTACTAACCTGTTTTCCTTATCAACTTAATGTCAGTGGTGTGTTGACAACTTGTGAACCTTCCATCAAATGAACCTGAACTGCTGATGTTTTTAAGTGTTTCTAAGTGCACTAAGAGTACACTGAGGAATTTGGAAAAGGTTCACTAACAGTTTTTTAAGTTACTTGTTTCAGAAGGAAAGTTCCTGCTGCAGTAGTTGTGAATATATAAATACAGAAACCGAATATGTGAGCTATATTCTTGTATTGAATGCAATTTTATGTGTACATGGAGAATTGTGTTTTCAAGCCCTTTAGCTGTCCTTTCAAACAAAAGGATCTTTCAAATGTTGTTTTTCCATCTATCTCTCCTCCTTCTTGTGTCCCAGGTTCTTCCCACCTCCAGTTCCAGTCAGATGATCACTTTTACCTTCTCCAATGGGGGTGTTGCCACCATGAGGACCAGCGGCACTGAGCCAAAAATCAAATACTACACTGAACTCTGTGCTGCTCCTGGTAACAGGTAGGTCACCTTATGGCTTGTGCAGACTACATGACTTTCAGCGTCGGCTGATGGCCCTGCTGTTCACACTAAACAACTTGCTGTCTTGTGACGGGAGTCTTAAATGTTGTTGTGGCGGTCACACACTACACGAGCTGACAAGGACTCTGTCACCCGACGCTGATTACTGATTGATCAATTATACTAAAATGTGTCAGAAAGTAATAAGCCCTTAATTTCTTAAAACCTGGCTTTACATGTCTTGTGCAGTCCAACCAACAGTCCAAACCCCAAAGATACTTAATTTACAAGGACATAAAAATAAAAAAAATCACCATATCCTCACAAGGTCCTTTGGACGAGAGCCCAGCGAGCCGGGGTGTACCTCGGAGAAGCTTGAACAAAGAATTGTTACCTTTTTTGCTTTTAAAAAAAATTACTTAATGATTAACTTGACTCAAATCGGATCAACTAGTTGTTTTAGGTATAAATGTCATAACGGTAAATGGAAAACACAGTTACTTCATTATGTCATTTTTTGTTTCCCCCTCTTCTCTGTCTTTTACAGTGATGTGAAACAGCTGAAGAAGGAACTGGATGACTTGGTTGATGCCATTGTCGAAAACTTCTTCGAGCCAGAGAAGAATAAGCTGCAGCCCAAGCCGGAGTAGCACTGATAGACATACAGGACCAGTTGTGACTGATCTCTGACCAGCATTTCACATGATGTCTTAATTTTAATGCATTTTGATTTACAACTAATTTAATGACAATGTTACCACCTTGTTATGTTCTTTTGCCAATTTTCTCTGAGATATTGTTACGTAATGATACATCTGTCTTTAGTAGTTTGTTTGTTTAGCTATCCATCTATTTTGAGGGTAGTTATTGATCCAGCAGTCACAATGAATGACAGCTATGTGTTTTGGATTCAGTGCTGGAGATAACTGTAAAATCTTCACTGTTCTACAGCCACAGTCATTCCTGTTGTGTCAAGGTAGTGTTTAGATGTACGACCTGTATTTAACAATTATGCATTCCACACTGCTTCAGCATCAACAGCAGTTCTGCCAATATGAGGAGTTACAGAAGAGTGTAATAAGAAAACTGCTGAAACCAATTTTGTAACTTAAACTAACTTAAATGCATGCTGTAGACTGCAGTTGAACTTTGACTGTGTAATATTTTAGTTAATAGTAAAGTATAACTCTGAAAGTGATTGGATATATTTTAAAAGTTTTAAATCAGTGCCAGAGAAATGGAACAACCTCTCACTGCAGAGTTGCTGGTTTGTTGAATGACTAAGCCTAATAGCTTAGAGCACCACCAAGTGGAGTCGTTGTATATTCTTTTTGCTCCCACTGCTCATTACTGAAAGGGACTTTTGACACCACAAATACAACTAAGACCCTTATACTGTCCAGTATTTAAATAATCATGATTGACTAGAAATGTGGAATTAGCACCTCACCTTTTCTTATGTGCCTCGTGTTCTACAATACTGTAATGAAAATGCAATTTTACTCAATAAAAACTGTTTCAAACAATGCATGTGGAGACAAATGTAGACGGATAAAGCACATATACACATAATTCCTTTACGTGCCGACACGTAGCCCCTGCATCCTCCGGCAGCGCATGCACGCAGCATGCACGCAGCATGCCCCATCCGAGTATAGAGAGGAGGGAGGTAGAGTATATCTTCTATATTTAACTCGAACTACAAACAGCTACGGCTGCGGGATGCTCTCTCTCTCTGTCTGTGTGTGTGTGTGTGTGTGTGTGTGTGTGTGTGTGTGTGTGTATATATATGCACGCGTGCGCGCGCTCTTAAAAATACACTACAACCTTTCTCGCTGCACACATCGGACAAGACTACAGTGAACCAGTAAATAGGCTGTGCCGGCATGTGGAGCAGAGGACATTCTAAAAAATGTATAAAAAAAGTGTAGTGAAAAAAAGATTATTCGCGTATGCTTTGACGTATGTGCGAGTTCGTGCGCAAAAAACTTGTTTCGTGCGCACATTACAATAACCGGTGAAATAAGGCATGTGGGGCTGCGCTCATCGGAAATAAAACCTCATTCTAACTTCCGCTGCTGGTCTGGTGCAGCAGAACACTGCATGCTGCACTGTCCCAGCTGGTTAAAGTTGGGGATTGATTTATATTGCAAGGTCAAATATGTGGTACGTATTCAGCCGCTTTCATTGTATTTTCTCTGTAACTTGACGTGAACGTTTTGATTCCATAGCTAGTGGGAAACATTTTCATCGTGCTCTGCTTTGAATGTTTCGACGCTTGCACTATTTTCTATTGATTACAAATTGTAACGTCACACCTCTTTTATCGGTGACCATAGTGTATTATATTGAAGAAACAATTAGAATTAAAAAGAATTATAATGTTGCTTGTTGATAGTAGGTGATGTAGGGCTGCGTCAGCTGCACACCGACTACACAAATATGATCCTCATAGTTAAACTTTCATGTATTTGTGTGTCCTTGAGGCTGTAAAACTAGTTCAGTAGTCAAGCCATGTGTTTCAGGCTGGGTAAACAGCACCAGGTGGTCATTTTGTAGTACCCTCCAAATGACCCTGCAACTACTGCTAGACTGATTCTTTACGGGTGACAAAGTGGAGCACACATCTAGGAACAACATTAAATTGGAAACCCTTGCCGAATAAATCTTTGCTGTGAAATCTTGTAGCTTGTACATTCATGACATGGTCCTTTTCCTCTTGGTGGAAATGTCCCCCTTTAAATGTCTCTGTCCTCTGTTTTGCAGGTAAAAGCAGAGGCAGACAGCTGCCTCCAGCCACACCAGCCATGGAGGGTCTCTACTTTGAAGTGAAGCCCAGGAGAGATGAACCCCCTAGGCCAGGGAGATCTGAGAAACCATGTCCTATTGTAACCTCAAACCACCACTCGTGTCCATCATTTTCACATCTCACGTCTTCCACACCCTGTCCTCAGAAACTCACCTCTGCTAGGAGGAGGATTGCAACATGGGGGGGAAAGGTAGAGGAAGCACGAGAGGAGGAGGAGAAGGAGGAGGAGGTACAATACAAACTGACATTGATCGGTTCTCTGCCGGTCCACCACCTGACCACCATGGCCATGCTGCCCTGGGTGGTGGCTGAGATCAGCAAGTCTCAGCCTGCAGAGAAGGAACTGGGTGCTGGGTTGCGGTCTGGAAGTCCCGGAGGTGGACAGGTGGACCCCTTAACCTGCAGTCAGACAGTTTTTCTGTGTGTGTCAGCATCATGGGTGCAATGTGCATCCGTTGTGGGAGAGGGAGTTGTCTGGGACCCTCTGACACACACAGTACTGTTTGAATGTCGTCCTCACCAGGTGACTAAGCTAATTCACAACAGCCAGGAGCCCAACAGCTTCGGCTGCCTGGTCAGAGATGCACCAAACTGTGCCTGCTATGTCTTCCAGTGCCAGGATAGCACCAAGGTAGGTGTGTGTGTACAAATTTGATGCTGTAAGTGTCTCAGGCGGTTGACTCAATAATACAGGTTTATGCAAAGTAACAAACAGTGTTGGAAAAGATATACACTTCTAGTTTCTAGTTCTAGTTTTTGCAGTTCATGCACACCTTGACTAAAAAAAAACGATTACCAAATAGAAAAAAATTACCACTATAGCCTTATGCACCAGACCCCATCACCCCAAATTAAGAGTCATATTATGTTGGATACCAATTAGCAGGATTTGTCAGCTAAAACAAAAGCCCACAGACAATTGAAAGAGCTCCAAAAAGCCAAATCCTCTGCACTCCAATGGCAGATGCACTGTTCAAATAAATGCAAAATGATTTCTTGAACTCTGGACAACACATGTCAAACATGAACGCATCAACATAAGCTCAACCTAGAAAGTTCACAGCACAGTTCAGTTCACAGTTCAGATTTGGAAGATTAGACTCTTGGGCGGAGAGGAGTGACACGAGAAATAGCCCGGCAACAATCTCCATATATGTCATGACAAAAAGCTGCCTGCGCATTCAGTGTGACCGCATCAGTATTTATTCCTGCCGAGAGAAACAGGATCTTACTTTGGCAATATTGAAGTCCATGTAAATATACAAAACACCAGCTCGTGCACTCTGCTGACCTACACACTCATGACCTCTAATCCATTCAACTCTCCCCCACATGGCCAACGGCCTCTGTGCGCTGTAGGTGCAGCTGGTGTCCGAGTAAAGCCAGATATATTTGATAGCATCTCCACTGCATGCTGTGCCCAGCATACCAAAGACTTCAAAGAGCTGGCCAGATTAGAGAGACGGAGACAATGGGGGGAAACTTAATGGGAAACTAAATGAATCAAAGAAGCTGAAATACAAAATGTCAGCTTGACCTTGATCTAGGTCTGTTTTTCTTGCTCTTCACCGGGCACATGTCTGGGCTCACATAACAAATACCTGCATAGGCTTTAAATACATGAACAGCCAACATGTACTGTGCGATATACTGTAAATATAACTCTGTGTGTGTGTGTGTGTGTTTGTGTGTGTATATATATATATCACTATGTAGTACTTTTTTTACTGTGAATATTTGGAGAAGTGTGTTATGTGTACGCTGTTCATGACATACACGGAGGCTGTGCATATGTTGTGATGACTGTATAGGTATTTGTTCAGTGTGTGTGTAACTGCTTGAGTGAGAGTAGATGTGCTTGCTTTACATTAACCAAGCAGGATGTAGAATGATGTAACTATGGTAACCACTTTCTGTGGCCTAGTGCCTGATGTGATGTGTTTATTGTGGAATTTGTGTATGTGGGTGCTAGTTGTTCTCTCTCTTTCTCTCAGCCCTTTCAAGAATGTGATGGTGATGTCAGGCTGACCACCTGTTGCTCTAGCTCTGTCACACTGGGCTTAAACACACACACACACACACACACACACACTGTACATGAACGCTGGATGTGTGTGCAATCCCTGAACAATACTCGCTCTGTTAAAACTTCTTTTGCTTTAGTTTATTAGATGTGAGCTGAGTTCTTATTTGATACAATCAAGGTGTGCATGAACTGCAAAAACTAGAAACAGGTTCAGGAACATCCCAAACCCTTCAGAGCCAAAACCACACACACCGCCAAATCTATAAACACTTTACACAGGAAACACTGAACTGCACACACACACACACAAAATCAAACTCTGCATCTGCAGTTACTGTAATTTTCAAGTGGGGGAGATGATACAGTCAATAGCAGTTTAATTTACATCACAGATTAATTTGCAGCAATCATTCAAGTGTGTATGTTTAGGCTAGCAACCAACCATATCTGGAGTTTGCTTCTATAGTGAGTGTGTGTGTGTGTGTGTGTGTGTGTGTGTGTACATACTATATATATAAATTACATTCAGAAGTTAAGTTGTCAACAAATACTGTATGTACATTGATTAACACACACAAATGTCCTTGTTTGCTTACAACTTTATAGTGTTATATACCAGTTGTTTATAAAGTGCTTATAAATGCTAAAGTGAGTGCTAAGTGAGCCACCCTGGTGAACTCTATGTTATGCTGGTAGTTCAAAAGATGCAGCTGGCACTATGTGGGGGGGGATTAAAAAGTTAACATAAAAAACATAGTGTACTGCTTTGTATCTGTGCTGGATACTACCATAGACATTTTAGAGATACTACTTATTGTCAGCTTGTGTACAGTTCTGCTCAATGCTTTTCTGAATGTGTGTCTGATACGTCTCTCTTTGTGATGACCGATCAGTGTTTTTGACATTGTCAGTGAAGACATTTTGGATTGTTTTCATTCCTTCAAAAGGCTGTTTGAGGGTTAAGACTTGGCTTTAGGGTGTGTGTGAGAGAGAGAGAGCAAAGGGCTAACAGTTTAGCTACTCACCCAACATATAACTGATGAAAAATAAAATTTTATTCATAATATGAGACATGAGACATTTAAGATATTTGAGATCAAACTCATTGGCTTTATTTTGAACATTAACAATTTCCACTTGTGATTTATTTGCATGTAGAGATGTGAGACAGGATGTCTGTTACAAACAATATTTGTTTGTGGTAAAAATAATCATTACAGGACATTAGTGCATAATTTAAGCCCTAGAGAAATATAGAGAAACTTTTCTGTGTCAGGGAGCAGAAACTGTCTCAGGGTGTGTGGGGATTTCCCTGCTGCTAGACTGTGGCAGAAAATAAACCACTGGGTGTCACCATTGAAGTGTACAATGTTTCAGTATGAATATTTTATTAAATTATTATTTTTTGCAATGTTTTTTCAGTTGCTGCTAATTTGTTTTACTAGCCAACTAGTACCTAACTATGTAATTATTTGTATTTAATTATTTGTATTTCATTTTACTTAAAATAGATGGTAATGAGTAAAGATGACATATTTCAGTATTCATACTTGTATCTATTTTATTGTTATCTAGTCAAAAAATAGATAACAATAGTAGATGTGTGATTAAGATATCTGCTAAATATATATTTTTTAAATATTAAAGTATAATCACACACTAATCAATATGGTGTTAGATTTTCACTCATGAATGTGAGACAGAGTTTGCTTGTGACAGAAATGTTCAGAGGAATCTGACAATATAGTCTAATCTTTATAATTGAATTGAAATGCAGACTGCTTCATCTTCATTAGATATCAGTCAATATTTACCAAATACTATGTGCTATTAACTATTCTATATGATTGTTTGTACTTGCTATTAAATATTTAGTTTTTCATAACAGCAGCTTTTCAGTGTTACAACTGTATGATCAACATGGATTTGACTTGTCATAAATTAATACTGTTTTTTTGTTGTTGTTTGTTTTTTTTTAAAGAAGAAGCAGAAATGTAATGCCTCTCTAATAGCTACTGCTGGTGCCCATTAAAACAGTAAATGATTCGATACCTTGGTACAGTAGTTTACTAATTATTTAATTTGAAGACATGGAAATGAGACAATGCTGGATGTTACACGGTCCAGGTAATCTACAATATAAACTGTAACCAGTTCTGCACTAAAGCTGTGTAGCTTAAGACAAAACACTGTCAAATGTTGGCAAGAGGACCTTGACATAAAACCTGTTGGTTGGAAACTTCTTGGCCGTTAAGTTCACTAATTATTCCCAGCTCTCCGTGCATCCCAAAGGTATTCATTCCTGCTTGATTAGGTCTGCTCTGCCTCCAGACCGGAAATACTGTTTATATTCAGATTGTGTCTACGAAGATAATAGACACAATCTGAATCATGTAAACCCACCCGAAAGTCTACCGCCTAAAGTTTGACTGCCCCGGGACAGGAACTGTGTCCACCCTCTTCTCTCAAAGTATTGGTGGATTTAGCTGCTTCAAGCTTGCCACAGTTAGCTAGAATGAAGTCGGAAGTTGGTCAATTCGCCTTCAAAACAAAAGCAAATAGGTTTAGCGTGGAAAGGATATATCTTTGAGGTGGTTGGCTGTGTCTTACATTGAAAGTTTTGAACTGGCTGTGTTGTCGTTTTTTGTTGACCAACTTGACGCTTAACCGCAGGATCCTCGGCTTCAGGGAGCAAGATCAACTTTCCAATGTAATGATATAGAAGTGTCCCACACTGTCAGACACGAGTTTCGGAGTAGTAACCGCTCAGATCTTGTTTTCGTAAAGTTTATGGCGGATGGGATGAAAGCGCGACTCCAGCGACTCAACCTGTTCAACATCAAACAAGAACAGAAAGATGTAAGTTCAGTTTAAAAGCTGTGTCGGTGCGGTTTTGTGTAACGTTAACATTAGTTTGCGTGCCATGCTAAGTGGGCAGTTAGCTATCCTAGGTAACGTTAGTTAGCGAGCATGCACTTTAACGTTAGCAAAATTAGCGCGACATGTTGTTAGCCAAGTTCAACAAGTTATTTGCTGCCGTTAACGTTAGCTAACGTTAACTCGACGAAAAAAGTATTTAGCTGCCTAATAACGTGTTCTTTACCCATTCATGACGCAGAATGAGGTTTTCACCATTAATTATATTAACCTTTCTTTACTTAGCTAACTACTTGACATGCTTGTCTTTATGTCAAATGCGTCTGTCTTTTTGACAGTGAAAATAACATGTAAACCTGGACTAACGTTACTGCTCTTCTTCCTATGAAGTGGATGTGACGTCTGTGTGTTGAAGTAGTTGGTCAAGTACCATAACGTTACCATAACTGGTCAAGAAATTATGGGTGGAAAATGTCATCACTGAATGGTTTCTGGGTGTAAATATTGAAGGTCACTTAGGTTTCTACAGGGATGTGAGAGAGTTTGATTGTATCCTCGTGTACTTATAGCAGCTAAACAAAGTATGTTTACATTAGATAATGATGAATGTGTCTGTATTTCAAACTTCCCTTAAGGTTTTAAGATTTCATTTGGACTTGGTACTTTCATGCAGATATTGAAATATATGGCTGTGTATTTGATAGGAATTTTCGTACCACTCGTACTGT